CAATCAAAGTCTTTTAACAAATCTATCCATCGCATCTATTGCATATTCAGTTCTTTCTGTGTGAATAAGTACTGCAAATTTTTGTGATCTGTGTAAATTTTAAACGTCCCCTCATACAGGTAGTGTCTCCACAGTTTCAATACATAGATCACTGCAGCCAATTCCAAATCATGCGTGGGGTAATTTCTCTCATGTGCCTTCAACTATCTAGACCTGTAAATAATTACCTTCCCCTGTTGCATAAGCATACAGCTTAATCCCAAATGTGATGCATCACTGTACTGCATAACCCCCTTCACCAGATGGGATAGTTAACATCGGTGCTGTAGTGAGTTTCTGTTTAAGTTCATTGAAGCTAATATCACATTCATCATCCCATTGAAATTTTATATTCTTCTTAGTCAATCGAGTGAGTGGTGTCGCGATACTCAAGAAACCCTTGACAAACCTGCAATAGTACCTTGCTAACCCCGAAAAACTCTTGATCTTTGTCACAGTATTCCGTCTTCCCCATTTTACCACTGCTTCCACTTTTGCAGGATCCACAAACACTCTATTTACTGACACAATATGGCCTATAAATGATATATGTTTTATCCAAAACTCATACTTACTAAATTTTGCATACAATCTAGCCTTTTGGAGAATCTCTAACACAATTACTAGATGTTTAGCGTGTTCTTCTAAATCTCTGGAATATATTAGTACGTCATCTATAAACATAATCACGTAGCGGTTCAGTAGGGGTTTGAATACTCAATTCATCAGGTTCATGAACATTGCAGGTGCATTCATTAATCCGAATGACATAACAAGAAATTCATAATGTCCATACCTAATACGAAATATCATTTTTACTATGTCCTCAGTCTCAACCTTCAACTGATGATACTCAGATCATAAGTTAATTTTTGAAAATATCATGACCTCCTACAACTGATCAAATAGGTCATCCATTCTTCGAAGTGGGTACTTGTTTTTGATAGTTACCTTATTCAGATCTCTGTAATCTATATACATACGCATAGTAACACCCAACATTTATTTTGTTTATAAATATAATTATTTATTAATTTAATTTAATTTAATTTAAATTATTTTAATTTGATTTAATAAAAAAAAAAATAATAATAATAATAAAAAGGGTGAAAAATTGGTTAAGTATTTAATTGAAAATAATTTTGGAAAAAAAGGGTGAAAATTTGAGTTCCAGAATATTTTTGAAAGAAAAATCAGAAACCGGAGGTCAAAACGTAATTTAGAAAAGTTACACCATATCAGATGTCCGGTCAGCAGCCCCGACCAACCAGGACACACCAGGTGGTAGAGGCACTGACGCAGGAGGCCACGAGGGAGGGGAACCGCGTGGGCGATCCGCGTGCGCGCACGAATGACCCAGATTGCATCGCGTACGGACGATCAAGATTAAATTACGATGAACGGCCCAGATTCACTCCCTATTTAATTGCGATTGGACGGTCCAGATTAAAAATGATAGACGGCCCAGATCAAAAGTAGATTGGTATAAATAACTTCATCCGCACCCAAATCCTA